TACTGTTATAATAATATTAATAATAAAAATATTAATACTATATAATATATTATAATATATTAACACTATAATACTATAACATTATATTATATTATAATATATTATACTATATTATACTATTATAATAATACTAATAATATATAATATATCACAATATACTATAATATACTATTATAATAATATTAATAATCTATAATATATCACAATATATCAATACTATAATACTATAATATTATATTATATTATAATATACTATACTATATTATACTGTTATAATAATATTAATAATAAAAATATTAATACTATATTACAATATTATATAATATATGAAAATATATTAATACTATAATGTTATATTATATGTAATCAATACTACACTATATCATATTAATTTTAATACTGTACGATATTATACTGAACAGTCAACAGTTATTTGTATGATATTTCTTTTAGTACGAATTAGCTCTTTTTATAGTTGTTTCGATTAATATAATTTCGAACTAGTTAACTGGCAGAAGTAGTCCCTTTCAAACTGTACCGTACAAGGCTACACTCACGCAGACATAGATACGTAGCTCTGCATCTTGGAATTTCTCGTTTCAATGAGTTTACTATTACAACAGTTTACAATGGGGGGGATGCTTTATACTTCTGGACGTCTCTCGCTGGCTCTTTAAGTTTACTCAATATCTGGTTTAACGTGACCTAAAATGCAGGCAGACGATGTTATTGGATATCGGAGATTCGGAACGATCGCGTTTCCAATATACATATTACTCGGCAAATGTATAAAGAGGAGGCTAATAAAAGCAGTCTGAGTCAACGTTGGTTTACAGATATTACCCCCTATTTCAAGCATTATGCTCTCGAAATAGAAGAGCCATATTTCGCCAATGTGTTTGAGGTTTATTTCTTTAAAATCGCGAAATTAAACTTTACTGTCAGTCGCAAATTTTGTTTCGTCAACCGAGATACACGAGATCGTAAATCATCGTTCAAATTTGTTTTATAGATACCGTATCAAAGAATTCTTTCGTACAATGATCGTAGATTGGGTGATTATCGATGCTTTCATTATTGAAAGGAAGTTTATTTCAAATGGTCTTGCGTATGAAATTTTATTTATATATGTCTCCTTCATCTCTTAAAATATCGAAACAAATTTTCGACAATTTAAAATTTACGACAATTTTAAAAATTCAACGAAGCAAGATCCAAACTAAAAATTTCCAAAACAAAATCTTCTCTTGAAATATCAAAGAAAATTCACGAAAACCACTAACGTACACATATTAAAATTTTCGGAAAACGAAGCAAAATCCAAACCAAAAATTTCCAATAAATCTCTTAAAATATCAAAGCAGATTCTCGAAATCTACTCGTATTTAATGGAACTTTCAAAAAATGATTTCATCAATGAAGCAAAACGTTCAAATTAAAAATTCCCAATGAAATCTCTTGAAATATCAAAGCAAATTCTCGAAAACCACTCACACATATGTACATGCGAAAATTTTCGAAAAAATTAACTCCTCAACGAAACAAGATTCAAACTAAAAATTTCCAAAAAAAAATCTTTTCTTGAAATATCAAAAAAAAAAAAATCCACGAAAATCACTCACGCATACATACATATTAAATTTTTACTTAATACATACATAATAAATTTTAACTTAATACATACATATTAAAATTTTCGGAAAAAATCACTTCGTCGACGGAGCAAAATCCAAACTAAAAATTTCCAAAAAAAAATCTTTTCTTGAAATATCAAAAAAAAAAAAAAATCCACGAAAACCACTCACGCATACATACATATTAAATTTTTACTTAATACATACATAATAAATTTTAACTTAATACATGCATATTAAAATTTTCGGAAAAAATCACTTCGTCGACGGAGCAAAATCCAAACTAAAAATTTCCAAAAAAAATCTTTTCTTGAAATATCAAAAAAAAAAACCACTCACGCATACATACATATTAAATTTTTACTTAATACATACATAATAAATTTTACCTTAATACATGCATATTAAAATTTTCGGAAACAATCACTTCGTCAAGGAGGCAAAATCCAAACTAAAAATTTCCAAAACATCTTGTCCCTCAAAATACCAATAAAATGTCAAATTTTTAAACTGTTTCATTCATGTATTTCTAACATTTTAAATCTCCTCTTTATTCATAGTCCTCGGCCATCAAACTTATTTCCATTCCCATCCCCCAGATTCCTTCGTGACGTTGCACAGATACACGTTTACACGTCTACACGTACGCACACGCGCGCACGTAAACCACGCTTATCTTTCTTTTATCAAAAGGAAACGATAACTCCTTACCCTTTCTAAGGACGACGAAACGAGATCTCCTTCAGAGAGATCTTGCGGTACGGCAGGATTTCCGGTTCCCTCGCAGACGTCGTTAATGCTCGAGCACGCGATAAAGCCCGGTCGTGATATTCCCGTTGAAACTCCTTCGCATTTTTTTCTCTTCTTTTTCGCGTCTCTCTTCCCGGGCTTCCCCAAGAGGAAAGGAAGATGTCGTTCTTCTTTTCCCCTACCCCTTTTATTTTTCTTCCCGCTGTCCTTCAACCGCTGCGCGAGTCACAAATCGCTCATTTCACCCTAACTCGCGGCCCGAGCTTCGAACATTCGCGCTCGATTGTTTCTTCCGATTGCAGACTGTCGTTTCGGGTTACTTTTGCTTCACGAATGATACAAAGTCTAATGTCCATAAAGTCACTTTACAATTTCGAAAATTTATTATGGAGGCAAATGTAAAGATAGGTAAGTGGAAATTATTATAAAATAAGACGTATGTATTTATGTTTTTTCGGCTTTTGCTTCAGATTAGTGATGTACCGTACCTTTGCTCGATACACGATATCTTTAACATAACTTCACGTGGGTGTC